AAGTCGCAGCTAAAAACAAAACGCGTTTTATTTAATAATAAAACATTCGTTATGGCGATCCTGCCAGTCTGCTTTATTTTCAGCAGACTAGCTTGATCCTGCCAGTCTGCTTTATTTTCAGCAGATCCTGGATAATTTAAAAAAAAAAAAACACCAACGCAACAAATAACAATATAATGCGGTGGACAACACGAAGGAATACATTATTACCAGAGGAAAATTAATTCACCCCAAAGGAACGGATGCAATTGGTTCAATCAATTATAAGCTGCTATCAATAAGTAAGGACGTTTTGCAATCTTTTGCCGCTGAATACATTATTAACAGAGGAAAATTAATTCAAACCAAAGGAACGGATGCAATTGGTTCAATCAGTTATGAGCTGCTATCAATAAGTTATGTAATGGTAAAAAAAAAATATATAGAATAAGTTTTAATATTTAGAACTCTTCGGCGTTTACCGCCGGCCAAGTAGCAGATTCCTGCTTAGGGTAACTAATAAGTAATTTTTTTTTACCAAATTAATAAAAAAAAAAAAAAAAAAAAAAAATATTTTTTTTTTAAAAGGAAGATTTTAAGTTTCATAATAGATTTTTTTTTTGGCTTTCATTAAATTAAATAATTTTTTTTTCCTTTCTTCTTCTTCACTCCCTCCTTGTTCTCATGCAAGAAATCTCCCAGGAGGAGTTTGACTCCATTTTTGATAAATGGGAGAGGCTCACATTAGAGGCAGAGAAGAAAAATCAAGATCCTCCAAGAGTAACTGAGGAGGTTCCTCAAACCTCCGAAGTTGTACAAATAGGGCCGCAACCGATAACTATCGAGGAATATCGGCGGCGAAACAAATTACAAAGACGGGTGGAAGAACCAAAGATTCCACCCATTTTCAAAACTAAAAAGCAAACTCGAGGAGGAAAGCGATACAGGAAGAAGAAAGAAATAGCTTTGACATATAGGGCACTAAATTTTGCCACAACAAATAATGATAGACTTAAATTAATGGAAAAAATTTACGAATTAAGAAAACTATAATTTTCTGAATGAGATTTTTTTTTTTAAATGAAGAAACTCTGTAAAGATATTGGCATGACCCGAGAGCCTACAATGCATGATGTACTCACCCCAACCACTTAGAGACAGAAGAAATAACAAGAGCAATGCGAAATGCAGGCTTTGAACCTGGCTGTTAAAAAAAAAAAAAAAAAAAACAAAATAGATAAATTTTGAAAAGAAACATTTTTACTGATTTGTTTTAAAAATGGGAGGTAAAGAATCGAAGGTCAGTGATCCAAATGCTAACGTGGTAAACACGGTTCAGATAATAGACCACACTGAAGCTTTGGATACAATAAAAGTTTACCTTATAGTTATCGTCATTATCAACGCAGTGAGTTTATTCTTGAAATTTTACACAACCCACAATAAAATTCTTAAAAAGAGATACCAGAGCCGCGCTGACGGTCTGGATAAGGTTTAAATAAACATTTTTTTTTATTATTGATTCATTCTCTCAATGGAGAAGTGGGAAGAAATTTCGAAGGAACTCACTGAAAATAAAATAAACGCGGAAAAATCTTATAAGTGCATATGTAAGAACATAAAAATTAAAACTGAAACAGTAAAGAAACATTTAAATGTTCTACTGTCATCGCTAAACAATATAGGTAAATAATTAATAGTGACAATGTTTTATTATTAAATAAAACGCGTTTTGTTTTTAGCTGCGACTT